AGACTCTGTCTGGTTTTCCATGCTATGTGCCACAGCCTGGAGTCTCTTCAGACAGCTATCTGGGATAATATAGACCTCATCTCATCTGTTTTACATCTCTCAGGGATCACTGTTGTCTCTCATCATGTGTAACATTTTGAGAATCGTTTCATATATTTTATCCAATTTTATAGTTGTTTCAGGCAGGAGGATAAGTCTGGTCACTTTTACTCCATCTTGACTAGATATGGAAGTTCTCCAGACAATGTTGATACCGTGTCACATTTGGGTTTCTGCAGGAGCATTAGAGTTGGGAGAATCAGTATGAGGTTGTTGAAGGAAGCACAAGGATAGATTATGAGATGAAGTAAGATACAACAAATCTGAGTGAGACAAGTAGGTATATCATTGTGGGACTTAGGGTATAGGATTGGTCCAAAGTAATCTCCAGAACTGCCTTATGTATAGCGACCACCTTTGATGGTAGTTTCCAGTCTCCACTACCATGGCTTTCCCATCATAATGATTCAGCCTTCTGTGTACCTGACAGAGTTAGGCCATGTAGGATACCAAAATGAATGCTTTAAAAGTTTGACTAACTGGAACTTAGTGTCTATTACATGAGATATATAGCTTTATACAATATAGAAAATGGTAAATTTGAGGGGCGCCTGGTGGCCCTGTTGATTGAGAGTCTGGCTTTTGATTTTTGTCTCAAGTCATGATCTCACGGTTTGTAAGATCAAGCCCCACATTGGGTTCCATGGCGAAAGCGTAGAGCCTGCTTGGGATTCTCTCTCCTTCGCTCTCTGCCCTTCCCCCACTCTCACACGCGCTCACACATGAGCTCAGTCCTACTAAGTAAACCTAAAAAGAAAATGGTAAATTTGATTATAGGAATATGGATAAAATTATATAAGAATGAAGAAAAAGATGGGGCACCTTGGTTACTCAGTTGAGCATCTAACTCATGATTTCAGCTCAGGTAGGGCCTACTTAAGATCTCTCTCTCCCTCTGCCCCGTGCCCTGCTCATGCTCTCTCTCTCTCTAACATAAAAACATAAAATAAAAGAATTAAGAAGATGATGACATTACTTGCAAGGAAGAGAACTGACATTTCAGTAAGAACCAGACATTGTACTTGGTGCTTTATATTGTTTGGTTAAAGCACTTGGCATTTCACCTGGCACAAATAATTTCTTATTGTTGTAGCTTGGACTGGTGGTCAGGAGCCTGTGCTGCGAAGTCAGACAGATTTGAATCCCACTTCCTCGTTATTAGCTGTGTAACTCTGGACAAATTCCTTGAACTTTCAGTTCTTTGTATTTTTCTTTCCTCTGAACAAATAGTAGTAGTAGCTACCTAATTGAACTATTATGAGGATTTAATGAGTTAACTCATGTTGAGATCTTAGAATCTGTAACAGGCCACTCAATATATATTCATTTTTAAAATTAATATTAACAATTAAATTTTAAACCCTGAAAGGTAAACATTATCCTTATTCTCAAGGTGATGTATCTATTAGGTAGCATCTTTGTCTGTGTGCACCAGAGACATGATTATGGTGGCTTAACCAAATAAAGAGGTCTTATTTTTTTATGAAACCAAATCTGGGATGTATGGTGGTTCCATGTGGCTACTAGGAATCCAGCATCCTTTAATATTTTCATATAAGCATCTCTAACGTGGCTTTCGTCTACATACTTGTTGCTTTTTGTCTATGGTGGTTGTTCTACCTCCAGAATTTATCAGAGTTCAGACAGGAAGAATGGAATGAGCAGAGGGCCTGTGCTGAGTGAGTGAACCAAAAGTCTTTCTTAGGAGACCCATATGCAACTTCCATTTTTATCTTATTGATCAGAGCTGTTATACTGTTACATGACCACCCTAGTTACAGGGGATGCTAGGAAATGTAATTCTTTTAAAATCTGGGCACCACCCCAAGGAAAAATATATTTTAGTAAGACAGAATTCATTGAATATTGTTTAGTAAGACAGAATTCATTGACTATTGTTAGTTACTAAAGGTGACTCCCACAAATGAGAGAACTGTAATTCAGAAATTCAATAACTTGCTTGAGGTTGTTAAAAAACTATTAAGTGATAGAGTTAATATTGGTAGCAAGGTCTGTACAGTATCATTCCACATTCCTTTGGCCACACAGTCCAGAAAACAAGTCATCTTTTCATTATAGGATCTTTGAGTTGGATCTTTCATGACAGGATATGGACATGAGATTAAAATGCAGAAGTATAGAATTCAAGGAGCAAGTAGATGGAATTATACAGCTTATTGGGGATACATTTTAAAGTTCATTTTGGTGAGCACTTTAGGATTCAGTGAAGGAATGAAGCTGGAGTAAAGATTGGAATAGTAAGAGAGGTTAAATGGTAGAAATTCTAGAAGACTAGACTAAGAATTTTACATTTTGCTTAGTATACATTTAAAGTCTTATTGAAATGATCCATTAAAGGAGCCCATTGAATCAAAAAGCTTTCCTAAAATCTGGGTAAAACTTTAAATATTACAGATTTCTTAAGGTAGATATGGTGACCAAATGGAAGTGATAGAGTAATTTTTTGATTACTATAATGAAATTGAATAACAAATTTCTGGCCATTACTGTTGCATCTATAAATGCTTTATAGAAACTTTGGGCGTTTTATATTTATATTCTGCAAAGACACTCTAAAATCTAAAATATGGACATTCATTTGTTCAACAAAACAGACATATTTCTTGCTCTTTTGGAGCTTACAGTCCAGTAGAGAGAGATAGATAATAAATAATAAACATAGTAACTATATATAAACATAAGCATTATATATTTATATGAAAATATATTTATGTGTAAGATATATATTTATATATGTATATTATATACTTATATGTTAAGTTTACAGGTGATCAAGCATAAAAATGGAGCAGGGAAAGAGGGAAATATGGGGTTAGTGTGATATGAGTTGCAATTTAAAGTTTTTTTTAACTTTTTTAAAAATTTATTTCAGAGAGAGACAGCGTGAGCCAGGGAGGGTCAGATAGAGAGACACAATCTGAAACAGGCTCCAGACTCTGAGGTAGCTGTCAGCACAGATCATGACCTGAGCCGAAGTTGGCCACCCAACTGACTGACCCAGCCAGGCGCCCCAACGAGTTGCAATTTTATTTATTTATTTTTTTTTAATGTTTTATTTATTTCTAGGAGAGAGAGAGAGAGAGACAGCGTGAGCAGGGGAGGGTCAGAGAGAGAGGGAGTCACAGACTGAAACAGGCTCCAGGCTCTGAGCTGGCAGCCAGCACAGAGCCCGACGCGGGGCTCGAACCCACGAACCGCGAGATCATGACCTAAGCGAAAGTCGGACGCTTAACCGACTAAGCCACCCAGGCGCCCCAACGAGTTGCAATTTTAAATAGGGCAACCGGAGTGGGTCTCATTGAGAAGGTGCATGCAAACAAATTCTTAAAGGGAATAAGAGAGTCATGCAGATAGCATGCAGAGTAATACAGTAAGTGGGAACTGCAGGATTGGGAAGTGCTTGCTGTGCCTGGAGGTCAGAAACAAGGCTAATGTGGCTGGAGTGGAGTGAGCAAGTGAGAGAGTACTGGGAAATGAGGTCGGAGAGATAATAGGAAGTCAGATCACGTAGGATCTAACAATCCATCATAACGATTTTGCCTTTTACTCTGCGTGGAAATGGGAAGCTATAGCCATGTTTTGAGCAGAAGAATGACAACATAATATGACTTACTCTTTAAAAGGATCATTTTGGCCATTGTGTTAAGAATAAACTTTATAGGGGCACCTGGGTGGCTCAGTTGGTTACGCATCCAACTTCAGCTCAGGTCATGGTCTCACCGCCTGTGAGTTCGAGCCCTGCATGGGGCTCTGTGCTGTCAGCTCAGAGCCTGGAGCCTGCTTCGGATTCTGTGTCTCCTTCTCTCTCTGCCCCTCCCCCACTCACCTTCTGTCTCTTTCTATCTCTCAAAAAATGAATAAATGTAAAAAAAATTTTTTTTAAAGAATAAACTATAGTTTATCTGTCTCTCCCAACTAGATTATAAAATGCAGGATCAGGGATCTTTGTCTTTTTTTGCTCATTGATGTATGACAGTGATAGATGCTTTGAAAATATTTTTGAATGAATGACCATCCGTATTTAAGATTTTAGAGTGTCCTTATAGAAAATAAATGGAAAACAACCTAAAGAGACAAGGGAAAGTTGTTGAGGGGAGAAAATTGCTGAAGAAATGTCTTTGAGTAATTGAAAGGAGATGGGATCTAGTGCCCAGGTAAAGGGTTTGGCTTTAACTAGGACCATGGATACCTCATCTGTAAGGGGATACAAGGCAGACTCCATGAGTGTGTTGGGGGAGAGTGTTGGGGAGAAAAGCTAATGTGAGAGTAATTAGGCAAGTGAAATATAGTATTATTAATGGGTCTACTTGATTAAGGGTACATTTAAAGTTCATGTCCATAAATTGAAAATCAGAAAATTAGTCAGCATGTTTATATGTTTTTGTCCAGCCGTGATCAACAGTGGCTGAGTGCTTATTGAGAATCAGACACTGCATTACCTGTTGGTTATATAAAAGATTAATAAAACCTAATCCTAGCTCTATGGGGACTTACAGTGTGGTGGCAGACAGTTTTTTAATCAACAAGTTGTAAAATGGTATGGTAAGTATTATCATTTCAAACAAAGGAAAAAGCATTGTAAATCAAGGAAGTTTCAGGCTAGTGAACAATTCAGAGCATGGAAGAAAAAACAGATTAGTCTAAGAAGGCAAAAGATTGTGAAAGAATCACTTTCAAACTCTCACTTCCCAGTCTCCAATCAAAAAGGTATCATGTATAAACTTTGTGTAATTCCAATCAGATCTGCTTTGAAACTTAAACTAGATCCCATAACTCATAAGTATTGCTCCTATGATATCCCCTGTGAAATACTAAGACTATCCAGATAGTATTCTCCCTTACCACAGTAAGCAAAAAACTCAGTTTTGCTTTATCAACAGGTTATTTTGGAGGTATTTTAAAGGAGCCAGCATTTGACGGTCATGGACTTATCAAAATCTGGTCACGTTGGAAACAGCATGCTTTTCTGAGGCCCTTTGAGCCTCCTACACAGGGTTTCTCCAATGACTGGTAAGGTAAGTTCATGTTGGATCTGAGCTCTGATTTCTAATTTTTTCTATATAATTTTTTTATTTTATTTATTTCTGAGAGAGAGAGAGACAGACAGACAGAGGCAGTGTGAGCAGTGGAGGGTTCAGAGAGTGAGAGGGAGATATAGAATCTGAAATAGGCTCCAGGCTCTGAGCTAGCTGTCAGCACAGAGCCTGACGCAGGGCTTGAACCCACGAACCGTGAGATCATGACCTGAGACGAAGTTGCACGCTTAACCAACTAAGCCACCCAGGTGCCCCAAGATTTCTAATTTTTTTCATCAAATACTCCAAATGCTAGCGTTTGTTTTGTTTAGTTTGAAAGTAGCATCTAGGAATAAACTCCTTTTAAAAATCCATTGATTGATCAGGTTTGAAAACTTTTATTTAGTAGGAATCTGCATTATTATTGTCAATACTACATTTGTCCTTGTCATTTCTTCATTGTGCATCTTTTAAGAGAAAGTTCATAGGGATGTAAACTTGTAGGTTCAGAAGTTTTCTCTTCAAACTGGCATTCTTTGGAAAAACTGTCTCAAGTCATTGAACTGAAAGTTTTATGAGAACTTTGCCCACTCTTGTTTTATCTTGTCAATGAGGATCTGGTTCTCTTTAGGAGGGAGTCCCTAAGATTCAGGGTTCACATTTGATTACATTGTCAGACTTATATGTTTATCTTTAGTCTGGTTCTGTAGCCATTCTGGGCTGGACTCCTGCATCTTATATGTATTTATACTAGAATCAAAATGTGTCTTGTTTACTTTCTTTTATTTATTTTTTTAGTGAGAGTGTGTAAGCAGGGGAGAGGGGCAAAGGGAGAGAGAGAGAGAATCCCAAGCAGGAACCCCCTCAGGAGCCTGATGCCAGGCTTGATCCCATAACTTTGGGATCATGACCTGAGGTGAAATCAAGAGTCCAACACTCAACTGACTGAGCTACCCAGGCACTATGTGTCTTGTTTGCTTTGTAATTGATAAAAGGATTACTTGGAATTAGAATTGATTTTGGGAGGAACTTCTGATACAAACAAAATGGTTCTTATGGGGAGGCACTTTGAAGCAAAAAGAAAGCAATATACCAAACATACAGTTGTCTACATTTTAAAGCAAGGGGAAACTTCCAATATAGTCAAGAGATTATAAAATTACTTCCTTATAAGATTCTTTGGCAAAGGCAAGAAAAATTTAGAACTGTCTTTTCTAGATCCTTTCAAATCAACAATTTGAATATGATGTCCTTTATTCCATTTTACTTCCTCATTCTGTGTTCCTCTATTTCCCTCTGTACTGTCTCTCCTTCTGACTTTTTCTCCTTCCCTTCAAAATACCCCATAAGGAGATAGTCCTGTTGGTCTAAAAGAGAAAGATCACTTTGTTTAATGTAAGAAATACCCTTTAATTTTTCTACTTCAAATATTAACAATTACTGGCATTTTAATCATAAAAATCAAACATCAGGGGACCTAAATTTATATTTAAACCAGCTGTAATGACCAATTCTCCCTCCCTCTTTTTCACCCTCTCTTGTGAGCACGTATGTCAGAATTGGTTTTCTTGCATCTAAACTTTCCCCTCTCTTTAATTAAGGAGAAGTAATTTGTCTTTTACAATGATAATTTTGTATTTGACTAAAGCTGGGTCCCTCTCATTTTTAATTCCTATTCCTTTTCTCCTTTTCCCTTCCTAGGGAAACATTAAAGATTAATTGATGAAAACAATTATTCTGTCATTATAAACTCAATCTAGTAATATCTAATGAAGAAATTTCTATAATAGAAAAATCATTAAATTGTTTTGTGTTTCTTTATCTTTAAAATTGCTTTTAAGAGATATTTCTGGTTAAAACTACAAGAAAAGAAGAAAAAAACCTTCTTGGTTCCAAGATGAAAGGTTCTGAACCAGGATTTACAGACTTTTTACAATTTAATTTATGAATACAAAGTTTATGTATTATACAGAAAATATTCATAAGATATTCCTGATAGAATGAGTTAATCATAGTGGTTTAAAGGATTGAAAAACAATTATGTTCCTGACTTTAATATATGAAATTAATGCCAACACAATATGCTAGTTTATACAAGAAGATTGAATATCTCATAATTTAAACTTTATATATTTCTCACATTGGTTTTATGGGACAAATTATTAGTGTCATTATTTCTATAAATTAAGGTTACAAAAATTTAGAGTCATGATTAACTAGATAAAATTGTAATGATGGGTATCTCTCAAAAGGAATAATCTTAAATTATTTCTATAATATCAAAATTCTTGGGATGCCTGGCTGCCTGAGTCAGAAGAGCATGTGACTCTTCATCTCGGGGCAATGAGTTCAAACCCCATGTTGGGTATAGAAATTACTTAAGTTTTTTTAAAAAAAAAATTTTAAAAATACTTTAATATCAAAATTCTTAAGAACTTTATACTTAACTAAAATTTCAATTTTTAGTTCCTTGGTTAACTTAAAAACCTTAGACAAAGGTTAAACTAAGTTAGTTGATACATAGGCTTTGAATACTTGGACAAAGTCTAAAGAAAACAATGACTGACATACTTTAATGTTAATCTTATATATTTAAAAATATAGATTGGGGTACTTGGCTGGTTCAGTTGGTAGAGTATGTGACTCTTAATCTCAGGATTGTGAGTTCAACCCCACATTGGCCCTAGAGCTTACTTTTTAAAAAATTAAAAATAAATACATAAATAAATAAAATAGAGATTTATAGGATGTGAAAATACTTTTGGATTTTGTTATGTATATAGTTTCCTTAAAATTTATAAAAACAATATGACAAAGATGCTCATTAGAAAAATAACTAAACAATTCCTCATTTTCTGTCTTTCAGTTTTATCTAAGGAGAAATAAAAGTTGATACCTAGTTTAAATAAAGTTAGCACTACATTCAGTATAATTACAGAGAGATATTTGTTTCTTAAAGAAATTGTTGCACCCAGGAGGATACATTGATAGGATGCTGAAATGGCCCTTAAAAGCAGAGCTTCAGCATTAACTCAGAGGCAACATTCTGAAAGGATAGATACCGTCCTTGAAGAGGTAATAAATGCATAAATTAGAGACCTCTGTCTGGTGCTCTGTTCACAACAGGGAGAATACATGGGCCCAGTAACCATGGGACAGAAGCAGGAGTAGCCCCATTTACCTTAATTCCTGATGACATAGTTGGAGATTTTGTTCCCCATCCTTTTAATTCTGGGCTTTCCAGGTTTGGAGGTCCTGATCCCCAAAGTGAGCCTGCTCTTGCCAGGGGAAACACAAAGTTTTTATTCAACTATAAGATGAGGGTGCTGTCAGTGCACTTTGAAGTCCATGTATCCAGGCAAAAGAGGCATCAGCATACTGGCAGGGATGATCTACTCAGATCAGCGAAGGACTTAGAGCAGGGGGAGTGCAGGTGGAGCCCAGATGATCCATTTGGACACCTTTTGGTCCTCCCATGCCCCATTGTAACTGTGAATGAATGCATTCAGCAGTGACAGCACAAGAACAGTATGGGCACTCAGTCCTCTCAGAAATTAAAATTTGAGTCAGAATGCCAGTTAGGCCCTAAATCCTGGTGAAGTAATACCTAAGAGTGAGGAAAATTAGAATAACTCCTGAAAGTGGAAGAATAGGAATACTAGTTTTAGCTCCAAAGATCAACTGCAGTGTCAGAGGCTCCTTCTGAGCTTCACTTCAGGAAGATGGGCCCAGAAGAACTATGGGAGACTGGCCATCTGATCTGTGGGAAGAGATAAATCTATTCAGCACAAGAGGTAGGCCATGGCAGCTGTGAAAATGAGCCCTCAAAGTTCCTATTGCAGAATAAGTAATTGACAAGTGGGCCCAGCTGCTGGCTCTCACAGGCTGCTCTCAGCCAATGACTGAGCATGACAAAGGTACTAAGATATATCTGTCCCACTTCTGTGAGGAGGACTCTTTGATGGGTAACTTGACTTGAGGTTTCCTCATCAGCCTTGCAGAGTTTATTGAAAACTAATGAGGCCCTTGCATTGAAAAACTCAAATTAGATCCCCAAAACCTCATAAATATCTCACCTTTGCCCTTCCTCCTCAGACACACTGCTAAGATCTGTCAAAGTAGTATTCTCCTCACTACCATAAGCAAAAAACTTAGTTTTGCTTTATCAACAGGTTATTTGGTGATATTTTTAGGAAGATAGCATTCAACAGATGAAAAGGAGCCATCATTCAGAAAGCAGAAGGAGGAGCTTCACAGGTAGGAGGAACAGTCAATGCAAAGGCCTTGATGTGAGAAAGAGGTATTAAAGGGCAGAAAACAGACTAGTGTGGCATTAGCAATAGAGAAAGTGGTATGAGCTGAGGTCAAAAAAAGTGAAGAAAACCATGGAGTGCATGGTAATCATAGTGTCATTTCATTCTGAGTAAGACAGAACCTATTAGAAGATTTCTACTGGAGAAGTGATATACCTGGGTTTATATGTTATAGAAGAATGTGTTATACAGGGACATAAATGGAAATGGGTAGAGCAATCAGGAAGTTATTAGAATGGCACACGTGAAAGCTTAGGTGATTTGGATCTAGAGTGATAGTGATACAAGAGGCAAAGAGAAGTGGAAAAATTCAGGATATATTTTGGAGATAGAATCATCAGGACTTGCGATTGGTTGGCTGTTGGGGAGGGCATGTGGGGATGTGTGTGAAGGAAGGGAAGGAATAAGAATGACTCCAGCCAGGGCTTTAGCCGTGAGTGACTATGTGAATGGTAGTGAATTTTACTTAGTGGAGGAAGACTGATGGGGAGGGATAGACTTGGAAGACCAAAAGCAAGATTTCTTTTTTGAACTTGGTTACTTTCGACTTCCAAATGGATATGTTAAGTTGGCACTTAGAGATACAAGTCTAGAGGTCAAGATTGGACATAAACATTTTTGTGATTTATCAACATGCGGATGGTAATGAAAAACAAGACAACAGAGAGATCACCTGAGGAAAAAAATGCAGATAAAGAAGGGAAGAATGCCCAGGACCTAGCCCTGAGGCCCTCCAACATTTAGATTAGCTACAGCAGGAAATATGTCTAAGCAGTTAAAAGGAACACCAAGAATGCTTAAAACTGGTCCGTTCAGTCCACTTTGGAACCTGTGAGGAAATGTCAGGGCAGGACGTATCTCAGATTAGATTAGTTGCAAATTAAAGCAAAGTCTTCAGTCCCTTATTTAACAGACACATATTCAGTGTATTAAAACAGTTGGGTTCAAAAGACATTACAATATAAGGTGGTAACTCCTTAATATATCAAGTTTAGACATAATGCTCCCCTACGAGTGAGAAAGATCAGATTTCTAGCCTTGATTATAAAAATATTCCAGAAAAATAAAAATCTTAAAAAAAAAAAATTCCAGGAAAGTCTATCTCTCTGCTTTCTAGTCTTTTTAAAAGCAACTATCTAAAAAGATCAATTTTTTCTTTTTTATGCATTCAATTTTAGATTTAATAAACATTAAACTTTTTATTTTTTTATAATTTTTTTAAATGCTTTATTTATTTATTTATTTATTTATTTTTGAGAGAGAGACAGAGAGAGACAGAGAGAGCGTGAGCAGGGGAGGGTCAGAGAGAGCGAGTCACAGAATCCGAAGCAGGCTCCAGGCTCTGAGCTAGCTGTCAGCATAGAGCCCGACGTGGGGCTCAAACCCACAAACCATGAGATCATGACCTGAGCAGAAGTTGGATGCTTAACCGATTGAGCCACCTAGGCACCCCAACATTAAACTTTTTAAACTTACTTTGCTTTTACCTAAAATATGGTTTTAGGTGGCAGTAATAAATTCTGGCTTTAAAAAGATGATTAGAATTATATAAATATATTGACTGTTCTTAAGAAGATGCTTCCTCTCTTTTTAGATTTGATTAACATTTGAAAATATAGTGTAATGTTTTGATATTAGAATTATATGAATCAAAAATATGAATATATTTGAATTTTCAAGAAGAATTTAACCAAAGGATATGGGAAAGAACAAAACAAAACAATATCTAGCTTGTGGTAGATATAAAACAGTTTGTGGCTTTCAGAGTAATAGATTTCTAGATCAGTTGCATAATAGTGATTATTTATTCATGAAGCCTTTTTATTTCCATGGAAACACTGAGATCATTTTAATTTTTAATTACATGAGAGTTTACAGTTCCGTAGATTTTAACTGTAGTAGCAAGCACAGAAGCTAGAGCTTTAAAAAATTTCCACTTTAAAAAATATAAAGGAGGAAGAAAGGGCTTTAATGATCAAGAATTTCACTTAGTTACAACCTTTAACTGTATACTGATTATTTCTAATTTCTCTGAAACCTGCACTGCAATTATATGTCCAGTTAATTCTTCCATTTTTTTGTCTATACTCTTTAGGTAAAAGTATTTTCACAGGAAATATCTACAATGCAAAATTGAGAAATGGATGCTGGTAAAATAAGTCATTTATGAGATAAATAAAATAGTTGTGAAGTAATAGAAAAAGCAGAGGACTAAGTCTGCCACTTACTTAGCTGAATTATCTTAAGTGAATCACTTCATTTCTCTGGCCCTCAATTTCTTCATCTGCACCCTGAGAGACTGAAATTGAATGATAGAATTCAATGGTTATATGTAAGTGATGAATCAGGGGCTTCTACTCTGAAACCATATGTTAACTAACTTGAATGTAAATAAATTGAAAGAGGAAAAAAAAAGAATTCAATGGTTCTGTGAAATAGCTTGGCTGTATAGAGCGCAGAACTGATGGGAACTATCCACATGGGCCCTACAAATATGTTGATAATATTTCTTGTGATATGAGTACTTGTCAGCAGGGACTGGTTTGAAGGTTTCTTCAAAATTGTTTTTAATTGATACATAATATTGCATAATATGTTTTCATATCTATTTTATTAATCCCCAGATTGTTTACCATTTATATATTTTCAATATTTTTTGTATAAAAGTCATTTTTTGCATCTCTGACTACTATGTGTTTCATTTGGATTCCTCAACATAAAGTAACTAAACATCATAAGCATTTTTACTCTTGATAATATTATAGAATTGCTTTCCATAAATGTTACATTGTTTTAACCTATCTCAAAGTAAATTTTTTTCTTTATTTGAGAGAGAGTGCGAGTGGAGGTAGGGGATGGAGGAGAGAAAGAGAGAGAGAGAGAGAGAAAGAGAGAGAATCACAAGCAGGTTCCATGCTCAGCCTAGATCCAGGCTCATGGGGCTCCATCCCATGACCCTGAGATCATAACCTGAGCTGAAATCAAGAGTAGGACATTCAGCTAACTGAGCCACTCAGGCACCCTGTCTCAAAGTAATTTTTGATTGTGAGGCTGATCGTGTCCTCATGAGAATTAAATATGATAATTTAAAGATTTTTCTAATTTGAAATACCATTTTGTTCAAATTAACATTTCTTATTAGTGAGATGTTTCCATATATACATTTTTTACATGAAATACACTCTTCACTAGCCCATTTTTATATTGCAATTTAGTTTTTTTTAAAAAAATCAATTTCTGTTGCCCTTGTACTTTTAAGAAAATGTTTAGGGGTGCCTGGGTGGCTTAGTTGGTTAAGCATCTGACTTTGGTTCAGACCCTGCATCAGGGTCTTAGCTCTCAGACCCTGCATCAGGGTCTTAGCTCTCAGCGTGGAGCCTGCTTCAGAACCTCTCTTCCTTCTCCCTCTGCCCCTCCCCGACTTGTGCACATGCTTCTCTCTCAGAAATAAACATTTAAAAAAAGGAAGATTATAATGATTTGCAACCTAGCAATATGTGCTTTCTTTTTAAAAAAAAATTTTTTTTTAAATGTTCGTCTATCTTAGAGTGAGTACATGAGCAGGGGAGGGGCAGAGAGAAAGGGAGACATAGTATCCAAAGCAGCCTCCAGGCTCTGAGTTGTCAGCACAGAGTCCAGCATGGGGCTCGAACTCACAAACAGTGAGATCATGACCCGAGCTGAAGTTGGACACTTAAACCGACTGAGCCACTCAGGCACCCCTGCACTTTCTTTTTAACTTGCCTGCCCTATCCTTCTCCAAGTTATGCAGCATGCATACTATCAGTAATGGTGGAACATAAAGTCATTGTTCATTTTGATAGAGTAGGCAGTTAGTATTTAGCAGGAGGCCTAGAGTCCCGCAAAGAGGAAGTACAGCTATCTGGAAAGTCAGAGGCCTGTACTAGCAACACTGCACAGGAGGCTGGATCAGACCAGACATCCAAGATGACAGGTGCCCTGACAGAAAACCCCTGACCAAATAAGGAAGAAAAGGCTCAAAAACCCTGCTTCCAAAGACCCTCAGCCCAAGTAATCTATATCTCACCCCCTAGATAATAACTGCTAATAAGAGATAGAAACCCAAACCCAAATCACAGTTCCTATGCTTGCTCTTTCTTTTGCACTTTCTTTTTTATTTTAGTTTGAGTATAGTTAACATACAGGGTTATAATAGTTTCAGGTGATAATACAGTGATTCAACAATTCCATACATTACTCAATGCTCATCCTGATAAGTGTACTCTTTAATCCACCTATTTCACCCATCCTCCCACCCATTTCCCCTCTGGTGACCATCAGCTGATTCTCTATAATTAAGAGTCTGTTTCTTGGTTTGCCTCTCTCTCTCTCTCTCTCTCTTTCTCTCTCTTTCCATTTGCTCATTTGGTTCTTAAATCCCACATATGAGTGAAATCGTATGGTATTCGTCTTTCTCTGACTGACTTATTTCCCTTAGCATTATCCTCTCTAGCTCTACCCGTGTTGTTGCAAATGGCAAGATTTCATTCTTTTTATGGTTGAATAATATTCCATTGTGTATATATACCACATCTTCTTTATCCATTCATCAATCTAGTGGACACTTGAGCTGTTTCCATAATTTGGCTATTGTAAATAATGTTGCTATAAACATAGAGGTGAATGTATTCCTTTGAATTACTGTCTTTGTATTCTTTGAGTAAATACTCAGAAGTGTGATTATTGGATTGTAGAATAGTTGTATTTTTAACTTTTGGAGGAACCTCCATACTGTCTTCCACAGTGGCTACACCAGTTTTCATCCCCACCAACAGTGCACAAGGGTTTCTTTTCTCCACAGCCTCTCCAACACATGTTGCTTCTTGTGCTGTTGATTTTAGTCCTTCTGAAAGGTGTGAGGTAATATTGCATTATAGTTTTGATTTGTGTTTTCCTAATGATGAGTGATGTTGAGCATCTCTTCATGTCTCTTGGCTATCCGGATGTCTTCTTTGGAGAAATGTCTGTTCATGTCTTCTACCTGTTTTTTTAATTGGGTTTTTTAAGGTGTTGAGTTGTATAAGTTCTTTATATATTTTGGACACTAACCCTTTATCAGATATATCATTCATAAATATCTTCTCCCATTCTGTAGGTTATCTCATAGTTTTGTTGATTGTTTCCTTTGCTGTGTAGAAAGAAGCTTTTTATTTTGATATAGTCCCAATAGTTTATTTTTACTTTTGTTTTCCTTGCCTCAGGAAAAAGTTGCTATGGTTAGTGTCAGAGAAATTACTGCCTGGGTCTCTTCTAGGATTTTTATGGTTTTAGGTCTTCAAGCCATTTTGAGCTTAGTTTTGTCTATAGTGTAAGAAAGTGGTCCTGTTTCTTTCTTTTGTATGTAGCTGTCCAGTTTCCCCAACACCATTGTTGAAGAGACTGTCCCTTTCCCATTGGATATTCTTTCCTACTTTGTCAAAGACCAATTGACCGTGTAGTTGGGGTGGGGGATTATTTCTGGACTTTCTATTTAAAAATTTTTTTAAATGTTTTTATTTATTTCTGAGAGAGAGACAGCGTAAGCAGGGAAGGGTCAGAGAGAGCGGGAGATACAGAATCTGAAACAGGCTCCAGGTTCTGAGCTAGTTGTCAGCACACAGCCCGACGTGGGGCTTGAACCCATGAACCATGAGATCATGACCTGAGCCAAAGTCAGACGCTTAACCGACTGACCCACCCAGGTGCCCCTCTAGACTTTCTATTGATCTATATGTCTGCTTTTGTGCCAGTACCATACTGTTTTGATTACTTCGTATTATGACTTATAGTCCAAATTATGATTCCTCCAGCTTTGCTTTTCTCTTTCAAGGTTGGTTTGGCTATTCAGGGTGTTTTGTGTTTCCATACAAGTTATAGGATTGTTTTTTCTAGTTCTGTGAAAAACATTGATATTTTGATAGGGATTGCATTAAATATGTAAATTGCTTTCAGTAGTATTGACATTTTAATAATATTTGTTCTTCCACCTCATGAGCATGAAATATCTTTCCATTTCTTTGTGTCGTCTTCAGTTCTTTCCTTAATTAAAGTTTTATAGTTTTCAGAGTACAGATCCTTCACCTCTTTGATTAAGTTTATTCCTAGTATTTTATTGGTTTTAGTGCAATTGTAAATGGGATTTTTTCTTTCTTTTCCTCTTTCTCCCTCTCTCCCTTTCTCTCTCTTCCTCATTCCCTTCCTTCCTTCCTTCCTGTCTGCCTTCCTTCCTTCCTTCCTGTCTGCCTGCCTTCCTTCCCTCTGGCTCCCTTCCTTCCCTCCTTCCCTCCTTCCTTCCTTCCTTCCTTCCTTCCTTCCTTCCTTCCTTCCTTCCTTCCTTCCTTCCTTCCGAGAGAGAGCACACAAGTAGGAGATGGGCAGAGAGAGGGAGACAGAGAATCTAAAGCAGGCTCTGTGCTAACAGTAGACAGCCCAGTGTGGGGCTCCAACTCAGGAACCGTGAGATCAATACCTGAGCTGAAGTCAGATGCTTAACCAACTGAACCACCCAGGTGCCCCAGTGGGATTGTTTTCTTAATTTCTCTTTCTGCTACTTCATTATTGGTGTATAGGAATGCAACAGATTTCTGTACATTGATTTTGTATCCTGTAACTTTACTGAATCATTTATCAGTTTTGTGGTTTTTGGTGAAGACTTTTGGGTTTTCTATATATAGTATGTCCTCTGCAAATAGTGAAAGTTTTACTTCTTCCTTACTGATTTGAATGCCCTTTATTTCTTTCTCTTGTCTGATGGCAATGGCTAGGACTTCCAGTACTGTGTTGAGTAAAAGTGGTGAGAATATACATCCTTATCTTCTTCTTGACCTTAGGAGAAAAGCTGAAAGAAAAGCATTTCCCCATTGAGTATGATGTTAGCTGTGGGTTTTTTATATAAGGCCTTTATTATGTTGAGGTATATTTCTTTTTTTTTTTTAATGTTTTATTTACTTTTGAGAGAGAGAGAAAGAGACAGCACGAACAGGGGAAGGTCAGAGAGAGAGGGATACACAGAATCTAAAGCAGATTCCAGGCTCTGAGCTGTCAGCACAGAGCCCGACACAGGGCTCGAACCCACGAACTGTGAGATCACGTCCTGAGCCGAAGTCGGACGCTTAACTTAGTGAGCTACCCAGGCGCCCCGAGGTATATTTCTTTTAAACCTACTTTGTTGAAGGTATTTTATAATGAATTGATATTGTACTTTGTGAAATGCTTTTCCTGTATCTCTGGACATGATTATATGGTTTTTATCCTTTCTCTTATTGATGTGATATATCTCATTGATTTATTTGGGAATATTGAACCACTGTTGCATCCCAGGAATAAATCTCA